ACTCTTGCATAGTTCATCTATTCTTGTTCATTCTTCTGATAGTAAGTATAGTCTAACACGCACCGCATGAGCTGTGTCGAAGAAAGTAGGTTGTACTGCAGATCAGGAACAACTAGTACGTTGCCGATGTGAATGGTGAAGCGAGTGTCTTCGGCTTCAAGACAGATTTCTCCAATGTCGTAAGCCTGGAGGCGTCCGTTGTTGGCGACGGTGATTTCTCATGGTCGTCGCATGTGCTTTGAGTTGCTGATAATCCATGGTGACCCCACCATGTGTTGTCCGTAGCAGCTTTCGAGGTACCAGGTGTTGTAGTTTTCGCGATTTCGTTGTGCGATCCCGGCCATCTTCGGAGTTACGACGCAGTCGAAGTCTCCGGTGTATGGCAAAAGGTCGATATATCGCCTCGCGGAAATGCTGGGAGGAGACTCTGGGGTCGGTGGAGGCAACTCAAAATCAGGTGGGATGTTTGTTGGGCGGTCGATCCAGCTGTGAATAGTAGGATCGTTGTTCGGACTGGGTGTGATGGGGTTGATGGGCGCGATTGGCGGGTATTCGATGTTGTCGTAGTATCGGAAACCTTTGCGTCGTCGCGCCATTCAACTCATGATTGACCCCTTTCCCTTGTCCTTTATCGTGATGCGCGCAGGAGTTTGCGAAGTGCTCGCGACGGAGGGTGGTGAAACTGTCGTTGTTGCAGCAGGGGAAGCCGAGGGTGCCGAAGGCTGCAGGCTGGAGGAGTTGGTGCACCTTTCGTTTGCGGCCTTACGCTTGTAGCACCGATCGATATTGTGCCCGGGCTTCTTGTAGTATTTGCAGAATGTCCCCTTCTTTCCATGCTGCTCCCCTTCAGTCGCTCCACTGAAGAACACTAATTTCTCCCGTTTGTTGTTCTTCTCATTATATAGGTCGATCTCCTTCTGCTCGGAGAGAAGCGTGGCGCACAGAGCGGACTCGGAGATGGTTGCTCGAGCGCGGAGCAATGATTGGCACTATCGCCAATCGGGTCCAAGGCCAGAAAGAACCATGGAGACGAACATGTCATCGGGAACGGTTCCGTCGCACTTCTTAATGTGGTCGCGCAGATTGCGACACCGATTGATATACGGTCCCGCTTTCTCCCCTTGTTGCATTTTAACCGATGTAATTTGGCTGAGTAGGCGACTCATTGTAACGGGATCTGTTGCCATGTATGAGTTGTGCAGGTGCTCCCAAGAAGCATACGCGACTGCCCACTCTGACTTGTAGGAGCGAATGCCAAGCTGCTCGGAGGGGGAGAGGTTTCGGAGAAGAGTGGTGTACGCAAGAAGAGACTCATAGTAGTACTGGTTCTTCTCTTGGATGGTGGCTTCCGTTGGAAACGGTAAGCTTCCATCGTAGTACATCCAGATTTGCGCAGTTGTCACGAGGAGCTCGAACTCGAAGCTCCACGTGTAGAAGTCTTTGCCGTCGAAGGGAACTGATGTCTTCAGCTTTGAAGTCAGAACGAACTTTGCTTGTATTGTCGCAATTATTTCTGACTGTGTGCGATGTTGACTGTCTTGCGCTGGAGCTGAAGCTTGACGGTTGTCAAAGGTAAATGACCTCTCAGAGTTGACGCGGCGGTCTTCTCCAAGGAGAGGGAGTCCAGCAACTCCACGTGCGTAGCTTGAGCCATCGATGCTCATAGCTTGATGGCTCTCAAGGGCGTTGATGCGAGCGACCAGATGCTCAACGAGAGCAGCGCTGACGGAGGTCACCACTGATGGTGCAGTAGGTGTTGCTAGTGGTGGGCCCAGAGAATCTGCAGTGGCTTTTCCTTCGGGAGCCATAGAGATGCAGAGTTTGTAATAGTTTAACGAGTAATTTATAAAGAAGTTGTTCTAGAAAGAACAAGAGCTTAACAGGCCTTATAATCCACTCTAGCTCTCATACCATGTTGTTATAAGTGAAGGATCCTAGTGGATATGATAAGTCTGTCAAGTTTGAGAGAAGACAATGAAGTTGAAGGAGAACAAGATGATTAAAGGATAATGGTACAAATATATAAATAGCAATCCTAGCTAGCCATATACTCTGAGGGGTACCGTAAGCCCCCGGATAGAAGCGTAGGCCTCGGATAAGCGCCGGCGCTTATAAAAGGATGACCGAGCAGGGTCCGGGAGCACAGACTGGAGCACAGAACGAAGCACATTGCTCTTTGCTACTTCCTTGCTCGTGAGCTGCAGCAGCGTGGTCAGCTGCGCCTTGCTTACGTGGCCTCTCAGGCCAACACTGCTGATATCTTCATCAAGGCGCTTCAGTCTTGTGATCATCAGCGCTTCTGTACTATGCTAGGTCTTGTACCTACTTGGCCTCACTTGCTTACCTCTTGACTTTCCTTGTACTGTGATCTATCTATACCTGCGCTTGCTTGTTTACCTTTTTATATGAACTTGCATGTGAACTGGCCTTGTGGCCTTTGAACCTGTGCTCGGAATGTGTGGTGACGTTGTGATCCACCCTGAGCTTGCTTTGCTTTGCTTTGCTTGACTGGTCTTGTGACCCCTAGTTCTCCCCCACTTTGCCTATGGGGGTGTGTCAGATATATATGCCTTAGCCTATGTAGGCTGTAGTGGGGTAGACACTAAGGGGTACAGGTTTCATATTTGTATCTCACACTTTCCTAGTTCATTCATTCCTGTTAATTCTCACAAGCCCACCCCCTAAAAAAAGATGATTTATTATAAGCGCATGATGTTTTTTCATTTGAAAACCTGACGAAATACAGAAACGAATTTCACATTATGAGGGAAACGAATTACAAACTCGATTTCCCCCACTCATATCTCACCTTTTGCGCGTCTAGTCAGCATGTGCTGTCATTCTGTCAGTTTGAGTTGGCAGGGAATCACTCCCTGCCAAGTTGCACGAGAATCAGATTCGCGACCCTATATGTTTTCGACTCGATTACAATCGGCATAACGAGATCTACAGTTTGGTGTAAAACAGATAGAATTTCTTTTTGCCATTTTATAAACGCCGGCGCCTATAAAATTCCTCGATTATAAGCGCACCCCCTAAAAAACAGTGTTTTTTTATACCCCCAGGGGCGCAACGAGGTGGTGAGCCCACCCACAGGATCGATCCAAGGGGATCGACCTGCTCTGATAGCATGTAAAAGTTTAAAAGGAAGAAGAGGGTTGCACTAGCAAGAATGAGGATACAAATAGCAAACCCTAGAAGGGTTGTACTCGCTATAGAGCACCCCACTACAGGCTAGAGCATAATATTCTGACACTTCTATCCGGGGGCTGACGGTACATTCCCTTATTAACTAAGGGTACATTCCTGTGGGGACACTTGTGTCTCAATCCCCGTTTTCCCGAGTCGCGCCTGTTAATTTTCCCAATGTTGTGTCACAAACATCGAATGTACCGCGATGTAGGGCGACATATTGGCAGGTTCAGTTGGACACGTTTCACTGGCGGGGATCAAAAAGAGATGTACAGGTGTGTGCATTTGACTGGGTGACAGTACACCCGTATTTTCAACCTCCGAGCAGGGGCGTGGTTTCGATGCGCGGGATCTTTTCCCTCGCAAAATTGGCATTTTCGGATGTCCAGGTGCATGTGGTCGTGTCGGGCATTTCGAGTCGCGTGCGATTCTTTAACAATGACGGGTCGTTTCACAATTCGACAGCGATGTCAGCGCGTTTCACGCTGACCAATAATAAATACAGTACAAGTCGCCGAAAGCCGATTCGCATTTGGGACACAACACAGTTTATGTTGTTTTTGGGTGTCACAAAGTGATTGAGACACAAGTGTCCCCACAGGAATGTACCCTAAATTGCATTGCTACAGTAACAACGACTATTGCTATTCTTGACAGTTACCATGTTGCATCGCGTAACTTCCAAGTGCGGTTACTGGGCAGTTAAGGGTCACGACCGTTGACTGACTCCGACTGTTGACCTTCGGGTGACCCTCGACCTTCCGCATGCTCTATATGAGCTATTGCGATAATGATACAGGCGCGTAGCTTCGTTATGGAGTGGCACGCGAGTGGAGAGCCTTCGGGAATGTTACTGTAATCTTTAGGTTATTCCAACAGATTGCAGCAAATTGGGTGTGATGGTATGTAGCTGAAGTCAGAAGTGCTGAGGAGTACATCAGAGAAAATATCATTTCCTTTTTTAGAAAGTCGTTATAACTAATGGTTCTGTTACAGTCTTAGTCATGTCATTATCTCTTCAACAATCATCGGCGAGACGAAAATTTCGTTGCCGCCGCATTACACGGCGACAAGTCTCGCATTGAATTAGCGGCGTGTAGTTACCAATAATTGTCCGCATACACCTGCCTGCACACCTGATGAACCCACCCCACCACTGGCATTGCACTCGCACTGTCCAAGAATGGGGAGGTCGCTGCTCCAACATTTGACAACGAGTGGGGGCTTTGACGAGGAGACCTGCTCACCCAGACGAGAAACCCTTCAGCGCGACTTACGATTCCGCACCGCACGGCGGATATTCTGCAGCACTTATTGCGCAACTACTCTTTACATGCGCGATTACTGCAATACTCTCGCATACAGTTGCATCGTGAAAGAACCGCGTCTCAGAAGCGTAATGTTTTCCGTAATATGCGGCGAGTGGAACAGCGAGCTGGGACCTGCCGAGACGAGGCTAGAAGTTATGCGCTGCACACGGACCGCCACCCTGCTCCAGGCTATCATTCCAGCCGCGCTGCGCAACAGAAGCGAGGTCGAGAGACCACCAGCCATTGGAAGTTCACATATAGGAAATAATTTCCAGCCGTTATAGCCGCTCGGCCCGAGTGACGGTTTAGACTTCTAGCTACTATTCCGTAACATCCGGAACGCCAATCCCTCCTCCGCTGATTTAAGCCGTCAGATTCAGTAACTACGACTCAGGTTCCGTCATCATTCTGCAATTGCCAAGTACTAACCACCAGAGATACTTGGCAATCACCTAGCGGTCTCACCGTCAGTTCCCGTTTTCGAACATTCCGCGCAGCATGGGTGCTATTCTTCGCTTCTCTCTCGTCATCGCACTAGCCTTCGCATGCCTGTCACTCGATATGGCGGCTTCACCGGGAAAGGCGGCTCGTATCCGTGCCGCCGAGATCGACGCGAGCTCTATGCGCGCTCTCCAAGCCTACTACTACCGCAGTCTGCTGGAAAGCGAGCTTGCGGCGGCTGATTCAGCAGATTCGGTGAACCTGGACATGGCTGCGAGCAGCGGCGGGGAGGAGGAGGAAATGGGGGATAGTACCACGGATGGCGTTGTGGTTGAGGTAGGGCGAGAGCTGTTTGGCTGGCCGCAGGGCGTGAAGGACAAGTTCAACAACGCCAGAAACAACGTCAAAAACAGTGTCGAGAGCGCCAAAAACAATATCAACAACGCCAAAAACAGCATCGCGAATGGCGTCAAATCCGGTGTCGAGACCGTGAAAAACACGGTCGTGACCGTCGCGAAAGATCCGAATGTGAAGAAAACAATCAAGGATGCGGGGCGCACGGTAGGGGAGATCGCCAAGGAAACGGTGTCAACGAGCGGGAAGGACGCGCTCGTGAATGCGGGTGTGGGTTTCGCCGCGGGCGGAGTGGCGGGGGCAGCGGCGGCGGGTAGCGGAACGCTCCTGCGTGGCGCAGAGGCCGTGACGATGCGCCGGATCAACAGCCGTGGTGCACCCGCAGCGCGTGCAGCGTAGGAGTATGGTGACGGTGCGACAGTGTATGGTGTAAACAGCGACGGTGTATGGTGTGGTGTGGTGTGGTTTGGTGCGTGTCATGGGGTGGTTTCTGGTGCATGGCGTGGTGGTGTGGTGTGATGATGGTCGTGGTGTGTGTGAGTGCGTTGCATCGCATGGTCTGGTCTGGTGTTTGCTGTGGTGGTGTGCTTTGATGTTCTGCGTGGTGTGGCGCCTAACGTGTGAGCATGCTGAACAGTGTGAGTACTGCTTCTGTGATCTGCAAGCTGCAACAGCGGCGCCAGGAGTAGTGAATATCACACTCGGGACATCAGATATTTGCACTGCATGCTAAAGCATTTGCTGGCCATTTTACGTTTTCCTCTAGAGTAGCAGGGTAGCGCGTCTTGTGGGGATGATGCGTGTGTATGAACAAGCTGGTCAGTGCATGTGTGTGCGAGGGGGCTGGGTGGTGCATGTTTATATGGGGGTGGGTTGATGTGCCTGGTATGGCAGGGTGGGGTGGCATTCAAACCTTGCGAGCGTTGGGGCGCATCTTAAAGCCAGGGTCTCAAGTAGACCAAGTGCTTTGCAGTCGATGGAAGAAGGGCCTGTCTGATTGGTGTACAAATTTGGGGCCAAAGTTTAGTCCAATCTAGACTCGCAAAAGAACCCACTTTTTGCCCAAGTGCTTTGCAGTTGCACGGCCAACCCGTACATGAGACCCTGGCTTTAAACACTGCCTTTCATTCTCAACTCAAGAAATAAACATCTAGTTGGCAATTTACTCGTTACATCCTTCACAAACGGCCTGCCTACACTCTCTCTAGGGAGACCACATGTTTCTACGTCAATGTTCACGTTTCTCAACCACTCCAGCTCCTCTGTTGGGTGAGAATGTCGCCTCCTCTCTCCTCCCTTTCCTCTTCATCTAAATTCTACCTTCCCTCTTATTCATCCGTTTTATCTCTCCCTCTCCCCTCCCCTCCCTTCTCTCTCTGCCTGTGTCCTCTAATCTCCTCTCTCTCTCTTGTCCTCGTTGTCCTCTCTGCATACCTCCTCCCTTATCTCTTTGCATCTCTCCTCCATTTCCTCTCCCCCTCGTTCCTCACTTGGTACTCTACTCCCTGTTGGAATAACAGAAAGGTTGTGAAAGCATTCCCTATCGCAACATCACATCACCTCATAAAGAGGTTGCGCACTAACTACTATCGCATTACACTCGAATAAAGCACGCGGCCTACAGCCTACAGCCTACTAGCCACCACCGCCAATGTTCGCGCTGCTGCTGTAACTGCCGCCTGCAGCAGCCACGAGCACCACCGCCACTGCCACTGGCCGCCCTGCCTTTTTAGCATGAGCAACAGCAGCAACAGCGCGCTTCTGCCTCCTTAGCGCGAGGAGCAGCATTACCAGCGTGCTGCTGCCCATTAGCGCGCGCAACAGCAGCAGAGCACTGTGGCCAGCAGCACTGAGTGTTGGCAGCAGCTGCTAGCACCAGCAGCAACGGTAAGCGCCAGCAACAGCAGCCAGCACCACTCACTTCCACCCGTATTGCCGCCCTTGGGGCGGCCTGCACTACCCATGCTGCTCGAGCTACCCGTACTGCCTGAGCTGCCCGTACTGCCAGTGCTGGCCATACTGCCAAAGCTGCCAGTGCTGCCCGTACTGCCCATGCTGCCCCAAGCTGCCCGTACTGCCCGAGCTACCCATACTGCCCGAGCTGCCCATACTGCCCGAGCTGCGTGTACTGCCCGAACTGCTCGTACTGCCTGAGCTGCCCGTACTGCCCGAGCTGCCTGTACTGCCCGAGCCGTCCTAGCTGGCCGAGCCGCCATTCCTAGCGCTGTTCCTCTTGTCGTTACTAGATACCTGTCCCTGCCGTCGCTACTCGTTATGGCGTCCTCGTCGCTTCCCCAGTTCGTGCTGCGCTTTGATGCGGAGGGTCAGGCACTAGATTTCAACGTGTGGCTGAGCGACGTTAAGCTTTACCTGCAGATCTAGCGCCAGGATAGCATCTACCTCCGCACCCCCCTTCTCTCACTGATGCCGCCACAGACGCAGAAAAGCAAGACCCCGCCACAGCTCAGGACAGGTACGGGATCTGGAAGCCGTGCGGCGCAGCTGCACGTCTCGCCCTTAGTAGCTTCCTCTCCCCTACTGAGAGCGCTCATTTTTGCCAGGTCAGGACGGATAAGGAGTATTTTTACGCCATCACTTCTCGTTACTCCACTCCCTCATCTGCTACCCTAGGCCACCTCATTATAACGTTTCTCTTTCATGGCCTGCCTACTTTCCCAACTGTCGCTAATCTGATGACCCACCTTCGCACCCTTAATGCACGCTGGCGCGACGTTTGCACTACTGAGCAACTCTCCACATGCCCCTTCCCCATGTATCTCACTCTTCACCTCGTCGCGACCCGCCTCCATGACCGCTTTGCTATTACACGCGACGCCCTCATCGCCCTACACCCTAGTGAGCCGAATCTCGATATTTATTAGAATATTCTCACTAAGATCGAGAGCCGCCTGTGCACCATTGCCTCGACCACGCGTGAGCATGTGCCCTGTATCTCTGAGGGGTGTGCTCCTCCCAATCTCCCTGTCTTTGCTGCTTCTGCTTCGATTGCAGAGCCCGCTCCTCCTACAGAGGTTGTAGCTGCTGCTGCTGCTGCCTCGGGCGGATGCAGCAGGCTCGTGGTGGTGGTGGAGGTTCTGGTGCGACTTAAGGAGCTAACGCTGGAGGTGGTAAAGCTTCCGGTGGTACTGCAAGAGGAGGTGATGGCTCTAGGAGTGTGGCGGTATCGCAGCATCAGCCGCAGCTCCTGCAGTAGCGACAGTCTGTGCGGTAGTGGGTTTCTCAACAACAGCTTCGCCCAGAGGGTTCGGAGAGCACTGGCTGCGATGGCAACTCCGACGGCTGGGCGTCACGTCGCCACAACGCTGGACCGTGCGAGTATCGTCTTCAAACTGGCCTTCGCGTTGGCACCGTCTGTGGACGTCAGGATCACTCAGTGGCACGCTACTTCCGCCTCCTCGTAGATCTCTACTGCCTGCGCGTCGGCCTTGAGGTTGCTCTCTCGGACTGGTACTCTTTGATGGTGTGCCTACCTTTAATATGGATATTGCTGATGTTTCAACCGTTTTGTATGTTCTTTACTCAAGAGTTCTTGGACCCTATTATTCTTGACATCTAGTATAGGATCAGTAGCTAATGCACATGTAGGATTTGCTCATGCATGTGTAGGATCTTCCGCTATTTCTAGCACAGGTGTGACTAATGATGACGCCTTGCTCTCCTTCACGCTCGACTCCGGCGCCTCTCAGTGTTTCTTTCGCGACCACACGAGTCTTGCGCCCCTTCGAGCTCATGTTGTAGTTGCGCTGGCCGACCCCTCCGCTCGATCGGTCGTCGCGCGCAGCTCCACAACACTCCCGTGTTCGGCAGACCCCTCTGGATCCCTTACGGCTCTAAACATCCCCTCGTTCTCCAGGAACATGTTTGTTGTAGGTCACCTTCAGGAACTGGGTGTCACCCCCACGTTCACTGGGCACGGGCAGTTTGTGACCTGCACGGACTCCACCACTGAGCCTCCTCTTGCCACGTTCTTGCGGGAGCCTGTCAGGTCTTCTCTCACGACACACTAAGTCCGCCCTAGTGTCTGCTTCTGGTCAGGTAGCTGCGTCCTGCTCGTATCGGTTACTCACCCACCCATCGCTTCTTTGGCACCACCACTTAGGTCACTCCTCCTTTCCGCGTATGCGTCCGATAGTTTTACGACATCTTGTCACAGCTTCCTCCCTCGTCTGCGCCGTCATGCACTCCCTGCGTTGACCAACTGCCTGTCGTCCCTCTCTCCTCCTCGCTGTCTCGCGCCACTTAGCCTCTTCAGACTCTGCACATGGACCTCTGGGGCCCTGCCCTGTCAAAGTTACGAACGAGAATGAATGAACTAGCAACGAGGATGAGTACAAGTACTAACCCTGAGTTGTGTTGTACCCCATATGGGCTACCTCACTACAGATTACACAATGTGCAGCATATAAGTTTTACACACCCCCATAGGCAAAGTGGGGGAGAACAAGTGGTCACAAGACCAGTCAAGAAAAGCAAAGCAAGCTCAAGGTGGATCACAAAGTCACCACACAGTCCGAGCACAAGCAAAGGGTCACAAGGCCAGTTCACATGCAGAGTTATATAAAGAGAACAAACAATACAGTGATCATACCCTAGCAAGTGCAAGCATGCAGGTATATATATATAGATCATAGTACAAGCAGAGTCAAGCAGTAAGCAAGTGAGGCAAAGTAGGCACAAGGCCTAACACAGTAGCAAAGCGCTGATGATCACCAGGCGGAAGTGCCTTGGTGAAGACATCAGCAGTGCTGGCCCAAGTGGCCACGTACGCAAGACGAAGCTGGCCACGCTGCTGCAACTCTCGAGCAAAGAAGTATCGCAGAGCGATGTGCTTCGTTCTGTGCTCCAGTCTGTGCTCCTGGCACAAGGCAATCATTGCCTTGTTGTATACGTACAGAACTAGAGGCGAACGAGGCTGCTCTCTCAAGTCGGTCAGCAGGTAGGTGAGCCAGCGTAGCTCCTGAGCAGCCACGGCCCCAGCGTACATCTCAGCCTCACAACTGGAGCTGAGAACTGAAGACGAGCGGGTAGACCGCCAAGAAACAAAGCCGGAACCAAGGCTGAAGGTGTAACTCTGTGACGACCGCTGCGTAGCTGAGTCATCAACCCAGGAGGCGTCTGCGTGACAAGTGAGAACAACTGGACCCCGTCCTCCAAGCACAAGCCCCATGCCCGACGTACTGCAGAGGTAACGCAGTACCCTCTTCGTAGCATCCCAGTGCACCTTTCGGTGCCTACCGGGAGCCACGTAGCAAGCCAGAAGGCTGAGAGGGTACGCGAGGTGAGGTCGTGTGCACGTCATCAGGTACATTAGGCAACCCACAAGCTCTGGGTACGGACCACTCGGCTCTAAGGACTCGTCCGAAGGTGGAGCTGAGAGCGAGTGGCTGGTAGATAGAGGAGTGGGCTGTGGCGAGGAGAACTGGAAGCCGAAGCGCTGAAGGACCTGGTGCACCATGTGTGACTGAGTCAGTGTGATGGTGCGCCGTGCTCTGTCCCGGGTGATCTGCAGGCCAAGATAGCTGCGCAGTTCACCCAGGTCAGTGCAAGTGTGTCTCTTCTGCAGCTCCGACTTCACAAGGATCAGTGCCTCAGTGTCAGCAGTGGCAAAGACAAGGTTGTCGACGTACACGAGGACGTAGAACCGCGGCAGCGAGGTGTTGGTGCGTAG